GAGGCTGGCCTCTCTCCTCTGGGAGCACAGTCCAACCAGAGGGTCAGACAAAGGAAGCCCATTACCCCCTCTCCCCTAGGGAGACCATCCTTTCATTTTGCTGGAGAGACAGGGCCCTGGCACCCCCAGGGGACAGCTGTTGGGGGAGGAGCTAAGTCCCCTGCCACCCAGAGAACTAAGGAGGAGCCCAACTCACCTCCCGATCAGGGATCACAGAACTCTGGCGACTGACCACAGCCCCAATCTGGCTGCTCTTGGGGCGGGAGTGAAAGTAGCACTCAGCCTCCTCTTCAGGCAGCTTCTTCACGGAGCCCTCCACTCGCACCTGCTCAAGGATGGCCCTGGCTAGTTGGCATTCAATGCCATCTGCCCCCCCCACCAACACAGGCCCCCTTCCTCTCTTTCTTCCCTTCTCCACTGCCCCACCACTGCTGGCTCCAACTAGACCAGCTCATTAAGAAGCTATTTGAGAGGCAGGCTGTTTGCCCAGCCTGGGGCCCTCCACTGGGCTCACCCATAGCGGGCCCCAGGCTGTCCTGGGAATGCTCACTCACCTGACGGTGGAGGGGCTCCCAGTAGAACACAAGGGAAGCAAAGGGATTGGAGTCCTGGAAATGAAAGAGAATTCACAGTCGGCCATCCAAACAGCAGGGAGAACACCTCCACCATGCAGAAAGGAGGCAAGGAAGTCTGCAGCAGGCAGGCCCGCAGGGAATGCGTTCACTGTCACATCTCATTTAAACCCTCAAAGGTATGCCTGCTTTTACAGGTGTGGAGACAGACTCCGAGAGGTTAAGGAACCTACCCAAGTTCACACAGGAAGTGCTAGAGCCGTGCTGAAAACCTAAGCCAGATGGACACCAAAGTGAGGCTTGCCATTTCTCTCATCCATAGATTTGCAAGTCCTCAAAAATGCATCTGCGGCCGGCATGGACTCGGGGAGTCCTTTGGATTCATGAATCAAATGTACACAAAGTATCAACTCTGGGCTTGACACCAGGAGAGGTGCTGGGGGGACAACAGGGTACACCGGACGCAGCCTCTGCCACCACAGAGCTTACTGGGTGTTTAGCAGAGGAGACAAATATCCATCACATAAGCACACAAACAGATGCACACTTATAAACTGAAAAAAAGGCAGAAAGTAAAGTTATGAGTTACCATGAAGGTGAATAGCTAATGTAGCATGGGGATCGAGGACTTTCCCGAGGAGGCAACATGGGGGCTTAGGGCCAAAGGGACAAGAGCTACTTAGGGAAGCCGATGACAGAGGCGGCGTGGTCAGAGAGAGCACTCATTCACAGCAAAGAGAAGGGCAAGTGCCAAGGCCCACAGGCAGGACAGTGCCTGAGCACAGCCAGCAAAGGGGTTGGGGCGGGGGTGGCACCGGAGGGTGACGAAGGAAGCCAGGGCTGGCCCCTGCAGGCCCCTCACCAGCTCTTTTCCCTTCCGACTCTCAAAGTTAGTGAAGAAACGGAAGCCGTCCTTGCCAAAGCCCTTCAGCAGCACCATGCGGGCAGAGGGTTTTCCGTCTCTGGGGCAAAGACCAGAGCATGTGGTCAGAACCCACATCACTGTCCTTGCTACCACCCCTCTCCCCAGGTGCTCCCCTGAGCTCCCCACACCTGTGCCCCCTTATTCTGCACTGTCTGGGCATGCAGGCTACCCATCCCCCCCACCCTGGGGATTTGTCCTAGAGGTGCATGTCATCACTGCCTGGGACCTGTTATGGACTAACTGTGTCTCCCTAAAATTCTAGGTTGAAGCCCTAACCCTCAATGTGGTTGTATTTGGAAATAGAGCTTTTAGGGAGGTAATTAAGATTAAATAAGGTCATAAAGGTGAGACTCTAATCCAATAGGCCTGGTGTCCAGAAAAGATATCTATATCTCTTTCTCTCCTTCCCCCTCTCCCCCCCCCCCACCGCTCTCAGCACACAATCAGCCAATGCTTAGTGATCACAGAAAGGGTAGGTACATTAGGACCTCTGCTCAGAGCTCTGGGGGATATCCAGGGGCACAGTACTAGAGCCCTGCCTTCAAGGCCTGACACTTTTTTTTTTTTTAAGGATTTTATTTAGGGGCGCCTGGGTGGCTCAGTCCATTAAGCATCTGCCTTCGGTTCAGGTCATGATCCCAGGGTCCTGGGATCGAGCCCCGCATTGGGCTCCTTGCTCGGGGGGAGGCTGCTTCCCCTCTCCCCCCACCCCCACTCGTGCTCTCTCTCTCTCTCAAATAAATAAAATCTTTTTTTTGTTTTTAAAGATTGTATTTGACAGAGAGAGACACAGCGAGAGAGGGAACACAAGCAGGGGGAGTGGGAGAGGGAGAAGCAGGCCTCCCGCAGATCAGGGAGCCCGATGCAGGGCTCCATCCCAGGACCCTAGGATCGTGACCTGAGCTGAAGGCAGAAGCTTAACGACTGAGCCACCCAGGCGCCCCTAAATAAAATATTTTTTTAAAAGATTTATTTATTGGAGAGAGAGCGCATGTGTGCTTGCAAGCTGGGGAGGGAGTGGGAGGAGCAGAGGGAAAGGGAGAAGCAGACTCCCAGCTGAGCAGGGAGCCTGAGGCGGGGCTCAATCCCAAGACCCTGAGATCATGACCTGAGCCGAAACCAAGAGTCAGATGCTTAACCGACTGAGCCACCCAGGCACCCCAAGGCCTTACACTTTAATGAGGGGGGACAAGAGTTGAATAACAGGCTACTGGAAGAGGTGTCTCAGGGGTATATGATTGTCAAATAAATAATACAGCCGAGCACTGTGCTAGATTTCAGGAGAGGGAGAGAGCTTTATGGAGAGGTTCCAGGAGATGTAGCTCTTAAAGGACAGATGGGAACTGGGTAAATGGGGAAATAAGGGAGACAAGGGTTCTGGGGGTGAGTGCGTTAGGGGCAGAGATGAATGAGGCACTACATTTTATTACTGAAATGGAATTAAGTGAAGTGTGATCTTTGACTTACAGATAAGGACACTGAGGCCCAGAGAGGACAAGTAACTTGTCTGAGGCCACACAGCATGTTAGTAACACAGCTATAACCATAAATTTGCATTCCACCAAGTTGAGAGCTTCCTAAGTTTCCTACTTCACCTGTACCCACCCACAGACAGGCCCACGGCTATGCCCACCTGGTGCAGGTAGCCAGACACATGGCATTAGCCTCCCCTATGTCAGGACACTGAACAGCCTCTTCAAACCAGGCAGCAAACTGCTTCATGGGGTCCAGGGAGGTCAGCTGAGTCTCCTCAAATGCCTGGGAAAGGAGATTTTATTTAATAAACACATATAATTCTTACTGTGTATGTGGTACTCTTCCAGGCACTTTTCATAACAAAAAACAGTACCCAGGAAGTAGGTTCTGCTAGCTCTATTTTACAGGTGAGGACAGAGGCATAAAAACGTGGTGTAACTCACCAGGTCCCACAATAGTGATGGATGAATCAGTTTCGTGTCATGAGTGTCAAACCTATCACTTGGGGAGCATTAAAAAAAAAAAGCCATATTCCTCAGCTCCACCCCCACAAATTCTCAGTAGGTCTGAGGTTCAGTGAAAAACTGTATGTTTAACAAGTATTTCTGGAAATGCTCACACACAACTAGATTTAGAAACTGCAGCTCCAGCGTCAATTCCGAAAGAGTTCTGTTGGTTTCTCCTATGAGGAGGGATAAGGAAAAGAACTTCTCCAAAAGGTAAGGGGAAGGACTGACAGCAGTGAGATCTAGGAGCTTTCTCCTCCCCTCCCTCCGTGAGTCAGTACCCCTCCCCCATGTGTTACTTATCAAATATTTAGAAGCTGATTATCACTGTTCTAAGCACTTTGCAAATATCAAAGTCCACAACATCCCTGCGAGTTAGGTACTCACTTCCCAGGTGAGGAAACTGAGGCCCAGAGAGGTTGTTAATGACCCAAGTGATGCACCCCGTGAGTGGCAGGATCCACCCCTGGCCGCCTGCAGAGCTCGCGCTCTCACCCACTGCAACCTGCTGCCTGTCTTCATCCTTGTTTCCCCAGAGCCCTTCCTCCCCCCATTGGTTGTCTTGGCACCCCCTTCTCCTACGGGGTGACCTCAAACCCACCCCATGGCGTTCCTCCCCTCGCGGGAGGCCCTGCCCCGGTGGCCGCACCTCTCGGTCCCCGCGGTAACTCTTGCGCATCGGGCCCAGGTCCATCACGCCACCGCCACTGCACAGTTTGTGGAGGTAGCGAGGCCACTCGGCAGGTCGCCCGAACGTCACGGTGACGCTTCGCAGCCCGCACGTCATGAGGCCGCCAGCCACGTGACCCGGCGTTGCCCAGCGCTGGGTTCCGTTGGGTTCGGAACCAGTTTCTCAGCCCGGGAGTTTACCCGGGGGTTAGGAAGAATTCGCCAGTCGCCAGGCCCTGCTAACAGGTCCTAAGTCCTCGGAGCCAATGGGAGCTCAGGGTCGGAGGAGGGAGACAGGCGCGGAGAGGCCATTGGTTGGAGCTGCCCGGGAGCGAGGCCAGTTAGAGCGAGAACAGAGGAACCCAGCGGCCAATGGGCGGCGCCTCCGGGGGCGGGAGCAGAGCGACAAGGAAATGCTGTCACCGCCGTTAACACGCACGTGGAGGTTTGTTAAAGGTATAGGGACTGCAGCCGCCCAGGCGGGGGGCGGGGAATGAGTCGCTGGGGGCTTGAGGGGAGGGGTCAGTGTTAAGTGGCTGGCCCCTAGCAGGTGCCTGGAGGCGAGCCTAGTGCAGGAAGTACCCCCTGGGGCGGGGGGGGGGGGGAAGCCTGTGGGCTGGGAAAGGACAAATGGAAAACGGAATTAGGGGCCAGACTCTGAGGCAAGGTGATGGGGAGACACAGAAGGAGGGGCAGTCCGTTTGGGGGAAGAAATTGGGGCTGGAGAGGGGAGAGGTTGAAGTGAGTTGTGGATCACACAGGATAGGTGTTGTGTATTGTGAGTGAGTGTATGGGCGGGGGTTCTCTGGAGTTGGGGGAGTGGGGGGAGATGCAGCGGGACCAGGAAGAGACTGTGGGGTGGGAAGGAAGCGTGCTGAATGGAAAGGGGGAAAGGGAAATTTGGGCTCAAGCCATCCCAGACCAGAGCCATGTTCCTTGTGCAGCTCTGAACTCCTCTCTGCCTCATTTCTTTAACCCCGGGGTCAGAGCATGCTGCTCCCTTTGCCCATGGTTTCTCCTTTCCTGGTGCAGCGGAGTTCACACTAGCAAGTGTTCTGGTAGATGGAAAGGTTGCCACTGCCCCACCTCTCCTGGGCCTCCCTCATCTTAGCTGGGTTTCCCCCTTCTTCACATTTTGCCCTTCCTAGTTAGTTGGAGTCTGGTTCCTAGGTAATGCCAGCCATAGCTGAGGGCCCAGGGGAGCAGGTGGCTGTGCAAAGCCACTTGCAGGCTGTGGACAAAGGGCTGAGATGTGGAAAACCTACCAGTGCCCATTCCGGCTTTGGCCTGGCTGGGGCAGCCTTGGGTCAAGTCCTCTCTGTAGTCCTGGTTTCCACCAACATCAGGAAGGGGAGCTGCAAGAGCCATCTAGGCAGGCACCCCAGGACTGTGCCAGGTAAGGGGAACTTCCTGTCCTACCCAGGTCTCTACATTACCATGTGTTAAGCTTCATAAAGCCCTGCATTAGATACGTATCATCTTTTATTATATGGATGTAGCTTGAGCCAAATGGAATCTGGAAGACCAATTTGCTGCCATGAAATAATACATGTCTCAAGGCTTAATGATGTTGATCTATGGATTCTCCACTGGTTGGAATTTTTTTGCTGCATCGTTTTCCTCCAACAGCATGACTGAGAGAGTTGACTGGACTTGCTTTCTTGTTGAGGTTGTCTTTCCACATGTGAACATTACTGTTCTCAGCTCCTCTCAAGCCCCTGCACTTGGACCTGTGTAAGCATAATTAGTGCCCTTCAACACAGATGATTTGTTCATGGGGCCACACTTTTTTTTTTTTTTTAAGATTTTATTTATTTATTTGACAGAGAGAGAGACAGTGAGAGCAGGAACACAAGCAGGGGAGAGGGTCAGAGGAGAAGCAGGCTTCCCGCGGAGCAGGGAGCCCGATGTGGGACTCGATCCCCGGACCCTGGGATCATGACCTGAGCCGAAGGCAGACGCTTAAGGACTGAGCCACCCAGGCGCCCATGGGGCCACACTCTTAGCACTCCTGGGCTATGCTACCCTGGACCTGGGATGCTAGGATCATTTGAATAGTTTGCCTGAAAGCCAAAAGCTCAGTTAGATATTTATTCATTCCATAGACATTTGTTAAAGACTTTTTTAAAAAAGATTTTATCTACTTATTTGTCAGAAAGAGAGTACAAACAGCAGCAGGCAGAGGAAGAAGCAGGCTCCCCACTGAGCAGGGAGCCCGACATGGGGCTCGATCCCCGGGATCATGACCTGAGCTGAAGGCAGACGCTTAACTGACTGAGCCACCCAGGCGCCCCTGTTAAAGACTTCTTTTTTACCAGGCACTGAGCTAGGTCTGAGAATACTAAGATGAAGAAGGTGACGTGCTTCCTGCCCACAAGGGGTTTGTAGTCTACAGGGGAAGCAGATCTGAAGGCTGAAGGGTTTACAGGTACTTTAACAGATACTTCTATGAGGAAAAGGGGAGCAGAAATGAAAAAGTGGTCTCCAGGGGTCAGACGGCCAGAAAGCCTTCGGAAAGGGAGGAGACATTTGATTTGTCTTATTGAGTGTTTGCCAGACGGACAATGGAATGGGCATGCCAGGAAGAGGGAACGATGTGGGTAAAGGCACGGTGTGTTAGGGAAATGTGGAACAAACAGCTTGGTTCTCCTAGAGCAAGATGGCAAGGTGGGCAGCAGGCCGGCCTAATAGGGAGGGCGGATGATCTGACAGGTGGAAAGGGCCAGGCTTTTAGACAATGATTCTGGGTTTTTTGTTTGTTTGTTTGTTTTGTTTTTTTAATCCTTGCTATTGTTGAACCAGAGTATCTAATTTCTGTTTTTTTAAGACCAGATGGAGAGAAAAAGTACTAGATTCCGACAGCCTCTCCCATCCTTGGCGATTAGCAAGGAAGTTTGCAATTCGTTGCCTTTTTAGATTTTTCCCTTCTGCCTTGAAAATAATAAGTAGGCTTGTGTTGTGCTTTTCTGCCTAGTGGGATTTGGTGTCTGGATCACAAAGCAGCCCCACAGCGCAAACGAGAGAGGGGCCAGCCTTTGCTGCTATCGCTGAAGCCCCCCCAGGGGTTTTGTCTGCGTGGGAGACAGGAATGTTTTATTGTTACTGCTTTTTCCTAAACACTTTGCCACCCTCCTCCCTCCCCCGACTTTGTAAAATTATTAGTCTTTTCTCGAGAGGGTCTTAAGTGAATAGAAAATGTGTGGTAATGCTTCATCGTACAGAAGAGGCACCCTGGTTTCTCAGTATGAAACAAAAGGGCTGTGTGTGAGGTTGGGCACTGTGCCTTGCCTGCCTTCTTCCTATGTTTTTGCCTTTATGTTCTTAAGTCACCTTTTCATCTAATTGTATTTCACTTGGATCTTAGTGACTGGGAGCCTGGCTCTGGTGACAGAGTGGCTGATGGGCCAGGGAGGGTGAGGCCGGGGCAGGGAGACGTCGAGAGACATGGCAGAAGCCGGGAGCCGGGAGCCTGGTGCTGGAGTCTCACCAGGATAATCTGAGGCGTCACGGGTGGCGCTGTTGAAGTGGGGGCATGTTGGAGGAGGAGGTTTGGGGGAAAGAGGAAGATGATCAGACCTGTTGAGTGTAAGGGTTTATGGGACATGCATGTTTGGCCAGGTTTGATCATCAGGTCTGGAGCTTAGGGGAGAGATCTAGGCTGATGAGACTGGGCCCCCAAGGTGGCACCTGAAGCCATGGGGGAGGATGAGAATGTCCGAGAAGAGGGTCTGGGAGGATTAAGGAGTATGGGGGGAGGGGGGAGGCCCAGGAGGATGGTAATGATGCCAGTGAAATGTAGCCTTCCAGGAGGCCAACGGCAGGCCAGAGAGGTGTGCTGGGGGCCCGAAGCTCAGGCACTCCTGAGCCCAGCCTTGGGGTGCATTCAGGACACACAGAAGGGGGGTACTTGGTGCTCTGCCAGCAGCTACCTGAGCCCTGAGTACTGTGGTTGTTGGGGGGCCCAGATGGGAGCCGGGACCTCAGAGGCTCGTAGTGGGATCTGGAGGAGGCTGACCCTTTCCCGAGGGGCCTGCCTGTGGTTGTGGGGTGAGCCCCTCTCACGACCCTTGTGTGGGCTCACAGATCACTTCCCAAATGCGTCCTTTCGTTTTCTGCCCCAGCCCTCGTTAGAAGTGCCTTCCTGGGAGGGACCACATCCCTTACTGTCTCTGGCTCCTCAAAAATCCTGGCCAGGAAATGCTCTTCTGTAATGTTTATGCATAAACTGCCTTCGTTAAGCTTCTCTGTACCTGGGTGCCAGGCATGGTGAGTGGGCCTTGGGGCCTGGTGGGGGCCGGGCCAAGTGTTTCCGTGGGCTGGAGGGATGTTAGGCTCTCCAAGGCTGAGAGGGGTATTAGGGCATCAGTCTCAGTCCCAGCCCTGGCTGCCTTGGTAATTGGGACCACAGGCAGAGGGAGGGGGCCTGATGGTGGGTTCCCGGGCAGGACCCAAGGAATATGACCTGGCAGCTTCTTAGTTGCCTTTAAGAAATCCTGGTCAGTCCTGGCTTTTGGCCACTTCTCATTTCCTCTCACCCAGGCCTGCGATGAGCCAGTGTTTGACTCCCCTCCTCAAGCCGTGATTCTCTGCCCTATCCCACCGTGGTTGGCTTTCTTTTCAGCCACCCCTGTTCTGTAGTCCATCTTCCCAGGCTCACTTCCTGCCCCTTCCTCGCCCTCTTCCGCTTGGAAACCCAGCTGCCACCTGTCCCAACATGACTACAGTTCCTTTAGTGACTTCATCCTAGCCCCAAAGACCTTGGTCAGGTCACAAGAGGTCTCCCAAGGCAGTGAATCCCCAGGTGAGGGTCCCTGGAATCCACCACCGTGTAGACCTCCGCCACGTTCCGTCAGCCACGAGCCCCTGATGGGGTCCAGGGACCTGAGAGGCTGCGGGTGGGTCTGGTCAGACTCAAGTGTGGGGCCTCAAAGGGCCCTCAGAAGGTGATTGTGAAGATGGACTGAGGGGTTTAAAGGAAGTCTCAGCTCTACTTGCTGCCTTGTTTGTTTGTTTGTTTGTTTGTTTTTAAAGGTATTTTGCCTGGTATTGCCTTCAGGAGGGAGGATCTCAGAAAAGAGGAACCCAGCCCCCTTTCCTTCCAGGCTTGTAATCCTAGTATCTGGGGTCAAAGAGCCACAACGTTGAGCATCACTGAGCAGACAGGAGGGTGCAGTGAGGGGTGACCTTGGGGCAGATGACCCTGAGGATGGGGCGGGGCAGAGGAGGGAACTTGGGCAGGATGGCCCCCACTCTTGAGCTGCTGGGGGTGGCCTGCTCCCAGATCTTCAACCAGGGCCTAGCAGGTGTCCTGGAGACGCCTCTGGCCTGGGGTGAGCTGGGGCCGCATGACACCATCAACAGCTCCGTGCCCCCCCCCCCCCCCGCCCCGCAACTCTCCAGTAAACCAGGGCTGGATTAAGGCAGAGGAGGGCTCACTTGCCACCAGTCTCCCTTCTTTGCTCATGCCATCACCCACACCAGGCAGCACTCTCCCACTCCCTGTCTGCCTCAGGCACCCCATGGGAGGCAGAGGTAGTCAGGCCTAGCTTGGAGCCTGAGTATCTCACTGGAGAAAGGAAATCCCCAGTGCCAATAGGCAGTTCTGCTCGCTGGGGGCTGGCCCCCTCATTACCAAAGGTTGCCCAGGAGTTGGGTCAGTTTCCGTACATGAAGCATAAAAGCACATGACTGGAATCAGCTCTCAGGAAAGGATCGTTCTTTGTGCCAAAGAGCAAAGCTAAGGGGGGAAACGTGGCAAAAAGTGGGCAATGTGCTAATATTCCCCTTCTCTCCATCAGTCCCAGTTCAGAACACAGCAAGACACTTTTCCAGTCGCGTAACCCACACGTGAGGGAGGGAGAGATACTCCTCACGTCTTCCCCCTGCCCGGGCAGCGATGAAATAGAGGACTGATGGAAGTTGGCCAAGAGGCTTCTGTGCCAGGGTAGATGCAGCTGTAGGTCTGGTTTCCCCCAAAGGGCTTATGTGTAGTGATCAGGGGCAGAGAACCTGTGATCTATCTGAGATCATAACCTTTTTATTTCTTTAGATGTGAGGGTGGACTGGCTCTGAGGAAAAGCTTTTTGCTCGCCAAGGCAGGCCGCCAGTGGCAGAGGACAGAGTGAGGGAGTGGAGAGCTCAGAACCAAGCCTGGCCACTCCTGCACGGCGCAGCGACCCTTGCTGTGTCCCTTGGAGGTGAAGAGGCATGTTGTTAAAAGGAGAAAGCACATACTGTTCTGTGACTCACCTCTCCCTTCAGCCCAGATGCTCTTCTGGCCCCGCCAGGTTTAAACACATGCACCCACGTCCTCCTCAGAGCTCTGCCCCCCACCCCCGCACCCCCAAGAGCCCCACCAAAATTTCAGAGCTGCTGCACTTGGGCTGCCCTGTCTGGGGTGGGGGACAGAAGAAAAACACAGTCCGTGGTCGGAGTCCTCGTCCGGGGAAAGCTGGGCTCCCAGCTCTCCACCCTGGAAACGAATCTTGGCCTTAGGGAACTGCCTTTTCTCCAGACTCTCTAGCCTCCCGGGAGTGACAAAGCCAAGGGCCCTCTGGCTCTCTCTCTCCCACAATTCTTGCTAAAAGGTTCTAAGGCCAAAGCCTTCCTCCCAGGACTGGGGAGTTGAGCGGAGGAACTCGCTCGCTCGTAAGGAAGGCATTGCTGTGCCTTGAGTCTGCAGGCAGAGCGTGCGCCAGCTTTGATTCCCGCAAAACTGGCTCACAGAAGCAGGAACACCTGTGCTGGGCCCTGCCCCGAGGTCCCACCCAGGTGCTCTGGGGGCTCGTGCCGACGCCGGGAGGGCCCGGTCCTGCCTTGGTCCCCGTGCGGACTGCTGGGAGAGGCCAGGACTCCCTCTTCTGGGGTCCCCTTCTCCAAGCTCTCCGAGGTGAGAGAGAAAAGAAGCTGCACCGCCAGGTTGCAGATTTTGCCTCAGGCAACTAAATTTATTAGCAAGAAAAAATTTTTGTCAGCCCAGTGCTGACCAACAAAGTACATCGTTAATAAAGGATAACAAATCTGTCACTTAATTCATAAAACATACCTCAAGCAGTTACAACTAAAAATAAAGTTGGATTTTTGTTTAATTTAAAAGCCTCAAAAATAACAAGCAATATGTTTTTAAACATGTAGTAGACACAACTGTCCATTATACAATATACACTGTACACAAGTAGGGCTGGGGCCACAGCTGGGGTGGGATGAGGGGAAGAGGGAAGAGATCAGGAGGTGAAGGTGTTTTTATCTGGATCCAGATTCGAGTTGAAATGCTGTGTCATTTAGAAAAGAGAATTGCTAGAGAAAAAAAATCTGTATGCTCTTCATTGCCCCCCAAACCCTAAACTGAAGCAGGCATGGGGGCGTGAGTAACGAGGACAGGAAGAAGGGAGCAATTAAATAAAACTTTAAAGCACACACAATACACAGTGTTCATCATCTGAAGTAGAGTATAAGGCAACGTTCTCCATAGAAAAAGAGGGCATCGGTGGGTAGCTTGACTTTTTAAATAGAAAGTTGGAATGTGCTGGAGGAGAGCTGTGGCAGGGCTGGGCATGTGGAGTGGAGGCAGCCCCGTGAGCCACTCCGGGGGGAGGGGGAGAGCCAGTGGTGCCCTGGGTGCAGGGTCCCAGGGCATCCGAGGCGGCTGGTGGGGCTGGGGAGGGGCGGGAGAGAGAGGGACATGGCACAATGCGACTCCGGCAGTGTTGGGGGAGAGGACTGGGGGGGCTCACTTTGCTCCTCGACGGAGTGAAATTCATGTTTTTCCTTTGGAAATAAGGGTTCCCACTCGTCCTGGTTTAGAACGTCTCATTGGGCACGGCCAACGTCCACGGTCTGGGCAGGCCGGGAGCTCGAGGTGAGAGGGGAGGGCCAGGGCGGAGCCAAGGGGCTTGAGAGGGAGGCGAGTAGGGGCAGCGGAGCCCCTTCCTGTGGGGGACAGTCGCAGAACAGAAGGGAGGGGCCGACAGCAGCCCGGGGACCTCCTTTCCACCAGGGGCCCAGGCAGGACACAGATGAGGGGCTGTGTCTTCGGGGCCTCCCGCCTCAGTTGGCCTTACAAGTTCTTCGTGACCAGGTGGGTCTTGTAATGCTTGGTGAGATGGTCACTCCTCATGAAGCGCTTCTGACACTGGGCACACTCGAAGCGTTTGTCCCCTGGGAAGACAAGATGCACGTCACTTGAAGCCCACATGCAGACACTGTCCCAGCCGACGAGGGAGGGGGTCACCCTGTAAAGCTGGCATCGCCATCCTGGTCTACCCACCTCCTGCTTACACATCCACTCCCTACGGTCGACTCATGAAAACCCTTCAGCAGTTCTCATTTCTCTGTGCCCCCATGTGACGTCACTTCCCCGTCTCCTTTGTTCCTATCCTCCCTCCCCTGCCTGAAGCGCCCCTACGTGGGCCCCTGTACCTGCATGAGGGCTCTTCCTGTGTAGGGAAGGCTATCACCTGCTACCTTCTGAGCTCCGTCCCTGTGACTAACCCTGGCTCCATGTCTTCCCCCTGCTAGGAAAGCCCCACTCCTCGCTGGTCCGCCACCGCTGTTCTGAGTAGTGACTCTTTAGCCCCGGCGGGGGGGGGGGGGCAGGGCAGGATCTGCCCCCCTCCCCTGCCCCCCACCGGCCAGGGACTTTGGCTTCGGGTCGTGTGCCCCATCCCCAGTCCCAGGATGGCGGTCCCAGGACTGGGGTCTGCTCACGGACGCCCTCGCTCTAGCAGCGGTTCTCAAAGTGTGTGCTGGGGGCTGCCGGAGATTCCCACAGCAGTGTTTGGTGGTAGACGGACGAACGTTTCTCTATTTTATACTTCTCTATTTATTTGCCAGTGCATTAAAACATGTAACTTTGATATCAAGCCTGCGGGGTCAAACACATGGCACTGGACACAAATGAGTAAAAACAGTGAAACGATGTGAGGGAAGTCATTTGGTAGATACTAGCAGGAAAGGCAGTGTGGGAAAGTGATTAGGAGTGTGGACCTGGGAACCAGAGGGCCTGGGTTGAACCCAGCTCCACCTGTCACTAGCTGGGTGACCCGGCCACCTCTCTAGGCCTCAAATGGGCACAATCAAAGAACCCTCCCCACAGAGTCGTTCAGAGGATTAAATGAGTTCATGGGTAGAAAGCACTGTACGGTGCTTGGCCCTCTCCACCAGGGCTGGTTAAATAAGTAGCTCTGTGGCTCTGGCAGAAGTCATGGAGGCTGGGTCAGGTAAATGACCTCCGTCTGGGAAACACTGCAGTAAAGGACTGGCTTGAAGGAATTTCCGGGGTTGTCCTGACCCCCTGAGAACAGTCTGTGGCTCTTGCTCAGTGCGGCAGTTCATCGGCAGGGCCAGGAGTCGAGATACTGCTGAAGGCAGCGGAGGAGGGGGTGTGGGCCGGAGGGGGCCGCAGGGGTGGGTGGCAGACCTGTGTGCGTGCGGGCGTGCCGCTGCAGCTCGTCGCTCCGGGTGAACCTCTTTCCACAGAAGAACCAGTTGCAGACAAAGGGCCGCTCACCGGTGTGCAGGCGCACGTGGGCCCGCAGCAAGGACGTCTTCCGGAAAGTCTTGCCACAGTCGGGGATATGGCACACATGCTTCTTCTTGCCCTGCTCTCCGGACCTGGGAATTGGGTTGAGGGGCAGGGACGGAGGGAGTGGGAAGCCGAGAAAGGGAGGAGGTAGAAGATGGAGGCAGGACGGGACGGAGAGAGAATGCGAGGTCAGGTCCGGGGGCACAGCAAGGGTGAGGAGGACCTCCCCTTTCCCTCTGTGGCCCAGAGAAGGGTTGGGGGAACAGGGCATGGGCCAGGCTGCTGGTCTGGACTACCACCAGCCCCACGTTACCTCTTGTCCCCATCCTTGCAGTTGGGGCACGTGCAGGCCATGCGGCGCCGCTTCTCCCCAGGCTGGGCCTCTCCAGCCAGGGCCTGCTCCATCTGCAGCTGGATCTGGGTGGGGCTTAGCCCACTGATGGTCAAGTTGTTCCCGGAGACATTCTGCACCGTCAGCTGCTGCTGCCCTGTGGGGCAGAGGGGGGCACAGTTGAGGGTGCGGAAGCCAGATGCCCTTCTGCCCTTGATAAAGGTGGTCGTGGCGGCAGCTGTTTCTGTGAGGCTCTTATGTGCCACATACCATTTTCGAGGCTTCAAATGTATTAACTTGCTTAGCCTTCACAACTCCATAAATCAGACACCATTATCCCTCTTTTATAGTTGAGGAACCTGAGGCTCAATAACATATCAAGGTCATAGCTAATCACTGGTAGGACCTGGATCTGAACCCAGGCAGCTAACGTCACGGTCGGTGTCCTGAGTCACTACACTGCCCACGTGACTTCAGTGGGGAGAGTTCCTGTCTTGGCTTGTCTTGGTTTCTTGTTTCTTCAGAAACTCCTCCAAGCTCAGGCCCTCGTGAGAAACCAACTCTGCTCTCAGGAAGGTCTCCAGGGATTTTTGGTACTAAGAATGAGAAACCAGGACAAAATCAAGTCCTCTACGACTTGCATAAAGCCGTTCCCAAGCAGGGGGAGTGTCACTTACCTAACACTGGTGTCTCTGAGTGGATGCATCCCATGCCCCTAACCCAGATGCACCATGCCTTAAGTGCTGTAAACTCTTAAGGATGAAGAGAGGAGATTCGGAGAGCTTCCACTACCTTGAAAAGTGCTCTTCACCCAGTTAAAGAACACCCTGCTACAGTGCAAGGAACCATTTTTGCTACGTAGCTACAGGGTACCCTTAATTATGTGCAAGGCGCTTTCGCACTGTAAATACTACCAAATAGAACTACCGAAACGAAGTGCAGGGCAAGCCATTCCCGCTGCCAAAGGCTCCATCCTCTCCTTCCCACCTTAACTCAAGGCTGTCTCCTTCTAGAAGCCTTCTTTCAATGTCCCTTTACCTGGAACCTCCCTTGAACATCTCTCTCGGGTCTGTATCAGACTAATCTGCATGTATATGTTAGTTGGAGTTTTCCTGAGTACATCTTATGTCTCCATCATATTCCAAGATCTTCAGCTGTCAGGTGGGGCCAACACGTGTCTTAGATGATCTCACAGGGCAACTGTAAGGACCAAGTGGACATGCTCTCAAGCTAGAAGGGGCCAGGCAAATGATGGGCAGTGTCCTCGCTGCGGTGACTGGCAACCCCGGGCTGGCCCACAGTTCTCAGGGCGGGACAAACAGGCCCACTGCCCACACCCTGGCTCAGGGGCCCTCCCCTCACCGCCGGTGCTGGTGATGGTGACAGGCACGCCCTGGACCTGGACACCGTTGATGCTGATGGTCTGCATGGCCTGGGCCGCGGCCGCCAGTTGTGCTGCGTTCAGGCTGATGATGCTCCCGGCGGGGGCGATCTTTGGCAGGGGGCGCTCTTTCCGGAGGATGGCGGCCGAGTGCTTTCTGCTGGTCCCACTGAGATGGGGAGCACGGGGCGCAGGGCTGCTACAGGTGGTGGCAGAGGTGGCTGCAGCTGTTGCCGGGGGGCCGTCCTGGACAAGGACCGTCTGCACCTCACCGGAAGGCGTACGGATGTAGACCTGGAAGGGCCGGAGAAAAAGGGTCAGTGCCCCAGGACAGACTGCGCCCCACGCCCCCACACCTTTGAATGCAGTGTCACCGCCCTCACCGCCCAAGTGAGAAGTGGGGGCGCCTCTTGGTCCACCCAAGTCTTCGGCAACTGGCCCAGACCTACATTCACACTGCCGATGGCATCCCCATACTAAGGTAGCAAAATGCTGATTGCTGACTGGAAACCAAACACTGAATTTACTTAGCATGGAAAAATACAACGCCAGCCCTCAGAATTAGAGAATTAGAAGGCAGCGAAATGGTGACGTGAGAAAAGATGCACCGCGAAAGACCACCAAACAAATGAAAACAGCTCTTAGGAGGCACGATCAATGAGAAACAGTTGTTCTCCACCTCAGACTGGCAAAGATGGAAAAATAAAATATAATGCTCACCGTCGGTGAGACGTAAGGGAGACAGGCACTTACTCTTACATCAGGAGTGGGAGTATAAGGTGGTCTAGGCTTGCCGGAGGGAAATTTGGGAGTGTGTCTCAAAAGGCGTCAAGATACGCACGTTAGAGCCTGAGTGGGACAAGGAGGGCCTTTGTGGAGCAGTGAGGACAGCGGCCGGCCCGGGTGTCGCCGGCCCAGCAGGCTGAGGAGCGTGTCCACGGGGAATATATTAAGGCTAAAAGAAGCAAGGTTTCTCACTGTCAGAAGGTTACAAATATGGAAAGGAAGAAACTAGAATGAAGTGTGTGGCACTAGATAGGAATCAGAGGCATTGTGGCAACGCTTGGGTTTCGATACAAAGAGAAATATAGATACAAATGTGTGTATCGTGTGTGTCCCTACCTATACCTATATATCCAGGCATTACACGTGTGTACATATATATGTATGTATGTTTATATATAGTTCTTGGCTGTGTCCGCTGAGAAGGGCTGGGAGCAGCAACACTCCAGGGGCATGAGCTCACCCAGCACCCGGGTTTTAGCTTCTAAATATCATGCTCCACTAAAAGGAACCAGGGCTCCTTGGAGAAAAAAGCTGATTCCAGGTTTGGGGGCAGGGAGAGTACAAGAATAGATTGGAACATCTGTGGGACGAGCAAGTAAGAAGGTCCTCAAGGAACGGGGGTACCACGGGAAAAGGACACAGGAGCCAACCTGAGGGCACTCCCACTGGCCAAACAGGGGATGACTTGAACATCAAAATCTTAATACTAATGGACTACAACCCACTGAATAAAATGGAAACCTATTAGTCCCTATTGACATAAACAAACAAATGGAGAAGAGAATGACATATTTAAACAACCGTTACTGCACTCTCCAAGAACAGTTGGTCCCAGGGCTGGGGCTAAGAAATACAAGGAATGAAGCACTTACACCTGCCACAACAGGGGTGAACCTTGAAAACACTATTACTAAGTGAAAGAAGTCAGTTGCAGGGCGCCTGGGTGGCTCAGTCGGTTAAGCGACTGCCTTCGGCTCGGGTCATGATCCTGGAGTCCCGGGATCAAGTCCCGCATCGGGCTCCTTGCTCAGCAGGCAGCCTGCTTCTCCCTCTAACCCTCCCCCCTTTCATGTACTCTCTCTCTCTCATTCTCACTCTCTCAAAATAAATAAATAAATCTTTAAAAAAAACAGTGAGTTGCAAAAGATCACTTTCTGTCAGATTCTATTTAAACAAAATGTCCAGAATAGGCAAATTCACAGGGACACAAAAAATGGATTTGTGGTTGCTAGGGGAGTTGGGGGGAAAGGGGAAATGAGGAGGTACTACTAAAGGTCTCTTTTGGGGGGATGAAAATGTTCTCAGCAGGGATGAGTGTACAACTCTGTGAATATACTAAAACCCACTGAGTTGTACACTTTAAAAGGGTAAATTTCATAGCACGTGAATATCTCAAAGCTGATTTAAAAAAAACAACAACAACAAAAGGTGGGAGTAGGCCAGGGGATACAGGGGCCATCTTCAAAGCACTCCAAACGGCCGAAGCTGGAACAATGTGAGCAACAAAATAAATAACATGATCCTGGCTTATAACCCAAAGTGTAAAACAAATACACATGAGCCCCTACTGCTATAAATAAATGATTGAAAAACTGAACAAAGAAGAAAAAACTTTTCCTTATAGAATTCCAAATAATATTACATAGATACTTTTTCTTCCCACCCCCGAAGATGGGGGACTTAGCAGCTCCCTTCTAAAGAACAGAGAAAGGGAAAAGTAGCCACGTCCAATGAAGAGACCTGGCAAACATTGCCTTAATCGGCGCTAAAGGTTAACATCAGGGACAGGGCATCACCAGGACATCATGTGGCTATCACGTCCTCCTCATATAATGTGAGAGGGCCATGTCACCTCTGTAGTAGTCTTTGCAAAAGCCCATAACCCCGGAGTGGGGGAAGTTCTGTAGGACATTTGACCGATGCAGCTCACGACTGTCAAGATCATGGAAAACAAGGACCAAAAGCTATCACCTGAGGGGCCTGGGGAGACATGCCCACGAAGTGCACCGTGGTATGTGGACTGGATCTTGGAACAGAAAGAGGACATAAATGGAAAAGCTGGTGATACCCAAACCAAGTGTGAAGTTAGTTAAGAGTCATGTGCCAATGTCAGTGTCTTCGTTTTGACAAAGGTACCTGTATGAAGTGTAACAATTGGGGAAACCAAGCGAGAGGGAAACAGACACTATCTGTACTCCCTTTGCAACCTTTCTGTAAATAGAAAGTTCTTCTAAAACAAAACATTAATGTTAAGAAAATCTCTATCATAATAAAAGATACTAAAACAAGTAGGAAAAAGTCTGATGAGGAATGGGATATTTACATAATCTCAAAGTATCTCCCTCCTAAATACTAATTCATTACAAAGAAAAAAAGGTGCAGAAATCTGGCGAACATCACTTTAATTGTCCCCGGTACTGAGACAAACTGAAATCACGCACCCCTTTTAGGGTACAGTGAGAACCCAGCATCACGTCTGCGGTACTTCTGCAAAAAAACCCAAAGCAAACAAAAAACAAGCCACAAAAAACACACAACCCACATGTCATGAGGAAACATCACACACACCTAAACTGAGGAACATATTCCAAATAACTGGCCTGTAGCCTTCAAAAGTGGCAAGGTCGTGAACATCAAGTAAAGACTGGGGAACGAAAGACATTAGCGTGTTTCATTGCTAACTGTATTGTTGTCATGGAGAATGTCCTTGCATGTAATGGGACACTTTCTATAAAACATTTGGAAGTGACAGGGATTATGGTGGCAACTTACACTCAGATGATCCGGGAGCCAAAAGTTATTTATTTAAAAAAAAAAAAAATCCTGCTGTGATTTTGATTTGGTTATTTTTAATTCCTGGGTTATTTGGGACTGTTTCTCAGTTAAAAGCAAAGAAACAAACCTCATGTCATCTCTTAATGAATAGACACATCTTATCGTGCCCCTTTTGCATAGCATTGCTATTTTCTGTGTATCTCAAGTTTCTGTTACTAGAACAATTTTTTGCTCATAATATAGAGCAGGGGTCAGCAGACTTTTTCTGTAGAGGGCAGACAGTAAATATTTTAAACTCTGCAGGTCATGATGAGGTCTCTGCCTTGTAGTGCAAATGCAGCGCACACGGGCATTCCAATGTCTGCATTCCAGTTCAACTTTATTTACAAAACAGAAGGCCAGATTTGACCTCAGGCTGTGGACTGCCCATCTCTCTGAATGTGGCATATGCTTTGTCCCACTTTTAGGAATTTAGTTAGCTGTAAGACCGTAAACTGCCGACATCTACGGTTAAGAGAGTATTAGTTATGTAATATATAGCACCTCAGGCTATTGGAAAACTATGTCTTCTTTAAGAAATAATGTAACTAAAACTTTCTGCATATGTATGATTATTTCCTTAGGAAGACCTGGGTTAAGCCCTGCCTCCATCAATCTCAAGATATGGGACCTCAGGGAAGGGAGGGGAGGTACCGCCAAGGATGTGTGCACCTGAGCTATCACCTCAGTTCCTCATCTGCAAGGTAGGTCTGGTAATGGAACCTCATAGGAATTCTAGTAAGTAAATTAAACAGTGTAAAGAAAATCACTTGGTAATACTTAATATGCCAGGATGGAGGAGGCATTCCAGGGCAGGCCTCAGATTTTCTCCTGTGGGACTTCCATGTCCATAGGTCAATCTCAAGGGCACTCCTTCTCCACCCAGGAGAGGGCACAACTCCCCACTGTCACTCACTGTGATGCTTCAGTTCTCTCTCCAGACAACTCCAGATTATAAATTCCTCAATGGCAGGAGCTATATTCTTATATTTAAAAAGAGCCTTAACAATAACAACAACAACCTTATCCTCAATTTTAACTGTAGCACCGGCCACACTGAGAAACAGCAAGTCAAGGTGAAAAGTGGAAAGGAGCGTGGGGTTTGAAATCAGAAATTTGAGTTGAATCCTGGCTCTTGTCATCTATGCCCCATGAGCTCTTGGATACTTCCTGAGTTCCAGGTTCTCCCATCTGCAACACGGGCATAATCCCTGGCATTTACTAGGCATACACAAAGAATAAAACCGCCTCACAGGGCCAAATAGATTCCAGAGTAATATGGCACCTTCATATAAGCCCCCAGTAAGGGCATTCTTATTGAATTATTAACATCCCAGATGGATCTAGCCTAAGTATTCCTGCCTTCAAGCTGGGCTGTGTCTTCCTATTTTTTTCCTTGCCATTAACAGTGACCAGAATTTTTCTCCTTTTTCTTGCTTTAAATCAAATTCCATGGTTCTGACTGAAATTTGTTTTTCTTGCTACCGTTCTGAGTAGGTAGTTCTACAAAAAAAATTAAATTTTATTAAAAACAAAAAGTATGTATCTGCCCCCTACCCACCCTCCAAAAAAAGACTCCCCAAAAAGAAAAAGTGGACCACAATATAGGTACATAGGGACGTCTCATCTGATTTCTAAGGGTGAGCTGTACATAACCCCTCTGAACTGAAGAGACCCCATGTGTCGGCAGAAATGGCCACTCACTGCCCACCCCAGGCAACACTCAGGTCAAACCAGGAGATGCAACAGCATCACTTTCCAAGCAAGCCAAGGGGGAACAGAGCATCAGCCATCCCGCGCGAAGCAGAGGGAGGCGGGTGCAGAGGGTGAGTGTGGTACCTGAGTAGGCGTCGGCTCAGCCGCCTGGATCTGAAAGTTCTGGGAGGGCTTCTGGGGGACGGTGGGGAGGGTGGCAGATGCCGCCTGCACCACCCGCAGGGCCTGCTGGGGGATCTGCACCACCTGCTGCTGCTCGGCCTTGGGGGGCACCACCTGGACCTGCTGGACCACGGCTGGCTGGCCCCCACCGGGGCTCTGAACAATGAGCAGGTTGTTCCCTGCCTGGATGATGTTGTCCGCAGTGGTCTCAATCAGCACTGTCTCCACCTGCTCGGCCACAGCCACAGGGGGCTGGGGGGCAGGGAGACTCTTCTTCCTGGCTTTCTTGTTAGTCTTAGACAGTGGGGTCGGGGGGCTCTCCGTGAGAAGCTGAGTGGTGGCCCCGGAGTCGCTGGTGTTCACAAGGTTGTTGACGGGCAGAGTGAGCGTCACGTTGCCGCCCCCACCTGTCAGCTTCACCACATTCGCCCCACTCTGCACAGGGGCGGTGGTCGTACTTGATTTCTGGACCGGGGCTGGCTTGATGGGCACAGGCTTGTGACTGGATGGTGAGGGGCTGATGATGGCTTGGCTGGTGCCGGGGATGATCTGGATCTGGTTGGTGAGACTGGGCTGTACCTGGATGGTCTGGGAGTTGCTCGCCTGTATCTGAGGGACCGCCTGGTACTGGATATTGGCATTTGATCGGGTCCCTTTGTTGATCACAGTGGGGTTCTGGATAGCGAACACCAGCTGCCCCCCAGGATAGGATGCACTCAGTTGTGACCCCTGAATCTGAAGGATGTTTCCTTTGGAGGACAAGATTCCAAAGCTATTCTTGCCAGGACTGAGAGGGAGAGGGGCAGGTTTGATGGGGACAAGTTTCCGTGGTGTGGGCTGGGGGGGAGCAGGAGGGGTCACTGCAGCTTCCACGGCGGGAGGGCCAATTTTGCTACATGTTGCGGCAAGCAGGGCTAGAGGAGATGGCTGGGAATCCTGCGAAAGAACAAGTGGAGGAAAGTGAGACATGAACCTGCTGCTCAGCCACCCTCTGCCCTTCATGGTCCTCTCCTCTTGGCAGGCTCTTCGCCACCTCTGTGGTAGGCATGGTGCCGACATCTTTCCCTTCCCTGCTGGCTCCTCTTTGAGGGAGAAAGAGTAAGCAATGTCTTTCTCAGGAAGGAACTCTCCAGGAGCCCCCATTTACAGGGTGAATGAACACCCTTACTTCCCAGCAGCCTTGTTTCTCAGGGGGTCATGGAATCATCCTCAGCTCTTAGGCAGAAGTCCACTGGCCCATCACAGGGGTTAAGGAGCCCCTGATTCCCCAGATGAGGAAGGACCGAGGGAGGGACGGAGGGAAAGAAGAAGGGATGGGCCACAGGAAGAATAAACACTTTGGTAAGGTGGGGAGGGCTGCTCTTTCGAGGTGACAAGGACAGAGCCTCTGGAGTGTAGGGACCCAGCCTCTATTTCCCTTTTATGGTCAAGTGGGAAAATCCTGCTTTTCCCCCCGACTCAACTTGTGCCACCTCAGGTAAGTGGCCCTGGCTTCTCAGTTCAGAAAAAGCAGACAACCGAACCTTCCCAGGGCTCATATCCCAGGGTGTTTCTAGTGAGCCAGGACCAGAGTCTTCAGCTGTGGTTTAATGTCAGCTTCAGCAAGTGCTTCCAGGCTGATGCAGCCCCCAACGCTCAGAACCCGCTGCCCACTCACCTGGGTGGTGGAGGCGGCGGGCTGCAGGTAGTCGCTGGGACTGACAGCGGCAGTAGCGGCCATGCTGGTCTGTGGATCTGTTGGAAGGAAAGACAGAATAATGCACAAGATGCCCAAACGGAACACAGGCCCACGGGCCTCAGATACCCTTTTTGCCTCTTTTCACTGCTGCTTCTCTGAGAGGCAAACCTTTCCTCACACCTCCCCACTCAAGGTTAGCAACCCTACATCTTGTTCAGTGGATGACCTCTGCTCTCCGATGACTTGTCCATCCCGGGCTGTGAGGGCAGCTGGTCCTGTCTCCAGCCATCATCGAGCCTGGGACAACACGAAGATACGAGACTTTGCCAAGACCAGCTTCAGTGACCTAACAGAGCTGTCTCTATGGGGTACTGCTGACTCTCTCTAGTTGGGTCGGCATCCCTATTTGGTGAGCAGGGGAGTCCCCCTCACCCCTGCAACTCCAGTTAATCCTCTGGTTCTAACCCAAGCTTCTTGCTCACTCCTGCTATAGCCAGATGCCAAGTGAGCCTGGGAGAGAAGCATCTCTCAGCCAGGATCCCTGACAAAGATACACCTGCTCCATGAAGAAGTCTTAGGTGCTTTATGCTCAGCCTTCACCACAAAAGCACCATGGCCCAGGAAATGATCTTCAGCATATGGATAACCACTTTAAGTGAATTTACATAGGCTAACAGGTATGGCCCCAAAGGCTTCACCAAGACTAGAACTAATGACTGAATATAATGAGAAGAATGAAAATAGAGGAAATTCTATTTTTGTTAAACATGTACATATTTCTATATGTGAATACAACAGGAAGAGTCTTTGAAAATGCTGGAATGTTGAAACCCATTATCTCTTGGTGGTAGAATTTTGCTTGACTTAAAGAATTTTTCTCCTGGTTTTTCTGGATTTTCTCATTTTCCCACAGTCAATATACTCTATTCTGCTTTTTTTTTAATAAAGAAAAATAAAGAATGTTGAGGCATTAATGAGAGGAACTACTCTGAAATCTGATATAAGAGAAACAGAAGTAAAATGGAAATCATGAGAATTTGGGGTGGGGAGAGAATCTATGCCATCCTGTAGTTCATAAATCACTAAGGAAAAGGACACCAGGCAGTGAGACTTGCATCCTAAACCTTTGGAAGGTAGCTTTCGGGAAGTACAGAAACAAGGTTATTATTTCAGAGAAATAAACTGTGTGAGAAGCCAAAGGGCAGCTCTGGACAAAATCGTATAGGGAGATCCTGAAATATTACAGACACTGATCCTTGGCAAAATCCAAGAACACATGACCAAACAGCACACTACAATTACCGAAGGAAACAATGATCATAAGGAATAAGCATGGGGTTGCAAAAACGGAGTCATGCTGCCTTATGGGGTTTTGCATGGGTATATCAAGAGAAGAATATATACCGTGTTTATTTCAACAAGGCATCTGACTGACATCTTCATAATATTCTTAGGAACAAGAAGGGAAAAAACTGCAGGCAGGATGGTCTAGTCTGGGGGCTAAGCCAGATGTGCCTCCCCCTAAAAGTGCTGAGATCTGCACATCCTGAGGGGTTTGCTGCTGCAGGGGCAATCAGGGTGTCTCAAACTAGGGGTGGGTCCCAGGATGAGGGTCTGCAGCTTCTCCTTGGAGGCGCGTGCTTTTTCTGCCACAATGTTTTCTTCTTGTGTTATCACTGTGATGGTCCTCTTTTGAAAACAAACATCCACTGGGTGACTGCTACTTTACCAAGCTTTGCCTGTTTCGGGGTGTGTGTGTGTGTGTGCGTGTGTGTGTGTGTTTACAACTGTACTGGTGCCAACTGGCACCACTCTGACTGCGTGGGCTAATTAAGACAACTTAATTCTGCACGTTTTAATTCACGCTACATTTGTGCAAAGTGAGGGATGACGGCTCTTCAGAAGCGTGGGAGGAGTGTGTTGCTTGGCACAAGACACAGTAGGGTAGGCGTGCGAAACTCAAGCAGCCTGAGGTGTCAAGTTGGCCGTGCTTATGCTGACAGCAGTGATCCGGGTTCAATCAGATGTCATCCTCCCAGAATGCAGCTGGTGATGTGACTTTTACTGGCTTTCTGGTAGTTATTTAATTAATTTTATAGGAGCTGGATCAATGAGCTGATAAACAGATTTGTGTGCATAATTAAGTAAAGTTGCAGCATTATAAATGAAAACGATCTAAGTTGACTCAAAAACGTTTTTCCTTTAGAGCAGTGTTCAAACTATTTAGACCATGAGCCACAGTTATAAAAACAGTTTACGTCAAGACCCAGTATGCACGCACCCACACACTTCCCTGTCCTGTGCTCATGCAGTGAGTTTCTTGAAAAAAAAAATCTGCCCTTACTATGTGTGACGGACTTAGGTATTTTTCTACTCTATTTCATTTTTTTTAAATGCTGGTTGTGACTCACTAAATTGGTTCTGTGTCCTAGAGGCTGGAAAACGTGGCTTTAGAGTAGTCAACCCACCACCCAAGTTTGGAAAACCATGCAAAGACCAAGCAGACAACTTCAACTTGCAGATGTCACAAAACCGAGAAGGATTATAAATACACCGGCTGTCGGTATTACGGTCGAAAGAGATCTTTAAAAACTAGTATGTGCAGTGCTTTAGAGCATGAGGTTCCAGACCTAAATGAGAGTTGGGGCCGTGCCGTCATCAGTGGGGTGGCTGGGGCATCCCTCTCAGGCTCACTGTGCCATCTATAGGACAGAGGGAACAGCACCCTCCTGGGATTCTGGGAGGTGTCAATAATTACTATGGAAGCAGCGCACACACAGTGGATAATCACTAAATAGTGGTTTAAATTTTGAAGTTGAGTACATCCTGCACTTGGGTTAAAAAAAAAAATTCACATGCATATAGGACGGAACAACAGAGCTTCATAGTGGTTCTCCTGTGAAAAAGCCCCAGTGGGTTTGCCTCAAAGCTAAACAGGAGGCAACAGAATCTAGATGTGGTTGCCAAAAATCTACTGCAATCTTGGGACTGCATTTCCAAAAGTTCAATCATAGAGAAATAAAAATAATTGTCCTAGTGTGTTCTGCACATTCAGGCCACATCTGGAGTGTCAGGTTTCGTTCTGAGGGATATGTTAAAAGGGGCATTTTCAATTGGCGATTGTTCATTGGACAGCTGCAGTGGTGTGGCCAGGATGCCAGACTAGTGATACCCACCAGGGCATCCATCCCACACGTGGTTCAAAAACTTCAGGGTAGAAACGTCAAGGCGGCAGATTTTGAGGTTCCTGGCTGGCTCAGTAGGTAGAGCATGTGACTTCTGATCTCGGGGCTGTGAGCTGGAGCCCCACGCTGGATGTAGAGTTTGTTTTAAAAAGGCAGATTTCAAATTAACACAAGGGAGAACTTTCAAAAAATGGAATCAGTTGCCTTTTGAGGTAATGTTCTCCCTTTTCTGGAATCATTTAGACAAGAGGCAGGATGTGTGTCTCTGTTGGAGATGGGATGTCTAGATGGGGTGGGAAGCTGGACTAAATGATCTTGAAGATTTTTTAAATTCTTAGACCGTGTTGCTGTTAAAAACAAGCTGAGTTACTTGCGGGCAAGGCTGGGAAGGGAAGGCAGGGGGCTCTCCCAGGAGGCTCCCCTGGACTCAGGTTCCCTTTAGCTAAAATGGGTGACTGACTCTCCTGCAGACAGACATCTTCTGGTCAGGAAACGGAAGGGCACTAGAACAGGACAGGGTGCAAATGAAATGAAAACAGGCCTCGTGCATCTTACTCATCTCCGTTTCCCATCTTCCTCTCTCCCTCCACAGTCTTTGATACCCTGGACTCAAATGGTTTGGAGCTCGGGCTGGGCTCAGAGCGATTCTTCAGTTAGGAAGTTAACAGCAGGACTGACTGAAGCAAGCTGCCAGAACTGCTGGGCCTGACATTGTACCATTTCAGTTTAGTTTCATTTTCCTCCACAGCTGGCTCCTGCAATAACCCTCTAGCTTTCAAACCAGTGTTTGTAAGTATCTCTCCTAGTGGCGCTGAGCTTGGGCTGCAAGCTTGGGCAACCAAAACAGAGACTGATCTCCCTGCCATTGCAGAATTATATCCTGGGATTAACCATGAAAGGGAAAAGAGAAGCATTTCCAGTTGGGTGTTTGAAAATGAAAAGTGGTTCAGAAGTGGCGTAGATACGTAACTGCAAAACTATGATCTTTGAACCTCATTAATTTGGAACCTTATATCTAAACGTGTAATTTGGACATAAATTGTGCTTAAATTTGTCTTCATACTATTCAAAGTGAGGCTAACTACTGTATGAAGACTGCAAAGGGACTCCTGGGCATAATCATGTAATTGTTTTATACCGCTTCTACCATTTTAATCGTACCATTTGCTTTTAACAGTTTACGTCTGGTCACTGAAACCTACATTTAGCAACGTGGTAAGTGGGATTTACTGAGTATTCTTGAAAGAAAAGCTGCACTCCTTTCAGAGGTCGGTCATTCAGACTTTTCATTAATTCAGGTTGGCTAAAACTTTCCCAACAATCCCTTGGCTGGTGAAGATTGACCGTGATTTATTACACAAGCAACAGTAGCTCTCTTAGGCTCCATCCAAGGAAAACTTCCAGTGGCATCAAGCAAGGCTTCCAGACTGGGGGGCTGGGGGGTGGGGTCTAGGGCTTGACGGCACCACCCCTGACTTTTCCTTTCCCCATACTGGAAGCCGGTTTAGTTCCAACACGGCAGAAAAGGCATCCGCTGCTGAGCCTCTGGCTTTTGATGGACAGATAAGCCATCTCCACCACCATCCCCTCCAGCGACAGCCTTTTTTTCCCCTCCCTCCCTGGCCAAACTTGGTGAAAAAGCTGCCAGCACTTTACTGCTTCCCTCCTTTCTCACTTGCTAATTTGCCCGAGCAGCAGCTCCCTGCGGACACTGCTCCTGCCCAGGTCACCGAGGACCTCCTCACTGCTAGAGCCAACAGACCCTCTTCAGCAGTTCTTGACCCTTTCACTGTTTCCTCCTCCTCCTCAAAATTCCCACGGAGCTTCTCCTACCTCTCTGGCCCCCTCTTCCCCTTGTGGGCTCCTCTGCCTTTTGCCACCCTTCAGTACTACTGTTCCTCAACACCCTTCCTTCTCACCCAACACCCGTTCCACAAGTGACCATGCCCACTCACAAGGCTTCAGGCACTATCCGCAGACTGACGACTCCAGGGTCTGTGTGCGACCCCGGTCTCCTGAGTGGCAGACAGCTACATCTAGCCCTCTGCAGGCCTTCGCTCGGATGGGCCACAGGACTGCCCACACTGAGCTGCCACCTTTGCCCATTCTCTTTCCCAGCTTTTTCATCCCCAGCCTCCACAGGCCCTCTTCCATTTCCCTGCAGTTTTCATTTCTGCCGCTGCCCTTTCCTTGCTCAGAACTCTTTCTTCTCTCTTTACTGGCCAACACCTACTCACCCTTCAGGTCTCAGCCTGTTTTTTTCCCAGCGAAACTTATTAAGAGCCCACTCCGGATCCAGCATGTCATTTACTCAGACCCCTGAGAGGAGGTTAACCCCTCTGGTAACCCTCGCCACCCTTTAAGTAATCATGGGCTTAATGTCTCTGTTGATATTCACAGGAGGGTGCCCAGGGTGGGCCAGGCCAGTTTTCACTGCACTGCTACACCACACCCCAGCACACAACCCAGGGGTCCTTCAGCGCCTGCAGGCCGGAGGAGTCTTTGGTTAAACCAGCCTCTCTCTGGTATTTCTAATCACAAGGAAACCTGAACGTCATCCTCATCGCCAAGGACTCATCAAGTCCTCATGACTCTACCTCCTAAATATAAACCGCTTTCCAATCCACTCACTGCTCTCCATCCCCTTCGCCATGACCCTGGCATTAACCACCTTCCGCTCAGCCTGGAATACCGCCCAAAGCCTTCAAAATGGCTCCCCAGCCTCTGGCCTTGCCCGCTCTAATCCAGCCTCCACTATTGGTGTCAGAAGAATCTTTAAAATGCAAATCCCATCCAGCCACTCCCCTGATTATACCCTTCAATAGCTTCCAGATGATCTTGTGATAAGCTTGTAAAAGCCAAAACAATCTGCCCTTCCTCCCTCTACCTCTCCTTTATCTCTTGCTCTTCCAACTCTCCCCACAGGCACGTCAGTGTTTTCCATTTCTGGAACTATGACATGCCCTCTCTCACTTGGAACCCAAGTTTGCGCACCCGCGCGTACACTCTCTGTCATTTATCTGGCCAACTGCGGTCCTCAGAGCTCGGTTTATAACTCACTCAGGTAAAACCTTTCCTGACCTCTTCCCTTCCAGCCCCCCAAGTCTGGGTCAAGTGCCCCCGCTATATGCCAATGTATAGGCCCCACAGCCCCCTTCACAGCACTCACCCCCATCACAGAGCAGGGAGTGGTATCTGTCCTAGAGGTCTTTCCATGGGCTGGCTCAAGGAGCACCAGTAACAGGAAGAGGCCTCAAACAGGACCCTGAAATCCTGGCCATCAGACTGGGGGCCATTCCACTGGTCTTTCACTTGAGAACACTACTCCTGAGACACAAGGAATGAGAGAAGGGGTCCAAAGAAATACCACAATAGGCTTTAGGAAGTTATTTTCCCTCTGGAGAGAACTTGGGTCAAACTCCATAGCCAGACCTTGGGGGGGTACTTGGCTTTTTTTTTTTTTTCTTTGCCTCATGGGTTCCTACCATGGCTTTCTTGGCCATGTGCTATGTTATTTCCCCTGGAGGAATTTCACTCTGCACAAACAGTCCTTCTGCTGGCTATTTTGGTCAGCTCGGCTGGGCCGGAAGCCAACCAAACAGTGTCTAAGCCCAGTGTCTCCCAGTTGCCTGGCCTGGAAGAATTCAGAGCTGGTAAGGGAAAAGCAAGCCATGGCTGGTTTAAGAGAACAAAGCTGGACCTCAAAGGGCGTTCATAAATGAGCTAAGGGAACTGGCCCGCATGGAGGGAGCAGCAACACTGGTAGTTAAAGACTCCAAAGCGCTGAGAAGCAAGTCTCCAGCACTGTAATAACCATACAGAAGAGCTCAATACGGGTAAAAGGAACTTCACTGACTTCCAATTCAGGAGGGCACTGTGGGTGACTGGCTGGCTAAGCCGGCTAATGCCTCAGGCCAGAGGAGGAGGGTGGAAAAGATACTGTCTCTATCCACACACTTTAGGAGCCATCCTGTCTTCCCTGCGCCCAACTTTAACCCCAGCCTCAGCCCAGGACCCTTATGTGGGCCCACAAGTTCATTAAGAAGTTAAAATTCCCTACATCAGCTAAGTTCCATTATTTCTCTCCATTTCAAGCAAAACCCCTTGCCAGTTGCCCATAATTGCTGCCCCTAATTCCTCTCCTGCCATTCCTGGAACTGCTCCAGGTTTTGCTATGCCACAGAAACCACCAGTGACCTCATGTTGCTAAGTCTAACAGTTAATTCTCAGGCCTCATTCTAGGTGTTGATCTGACAGCAGACCCCTCTTTCTCCTTGAAACACTTTCTCCACTTGGCTTCGAGGACACACTTGCCAGGTTGGCCTACCTCCCTAGCTACTTCTTCGAAGATTCCTTTGCTGGGTCCTCCTCTCCTCAAATTCTAATTGGTTGGGCAGCCCCAGGGTGCCGTCTCAGCATATACCTTTCTTCTGTCTACACCTGTCTCCTGGGTGATTTCATCTAGCCTCACAGCTTTAAAAACCAACAGTACATAGGTTCTACATAATGATGACTTCCAATTTGTATCTGCAGACTTGTGTATCCAGCTGCCTACTGACATCTCCACGTGGATATGTTAACAAGCATCTCAAACCTAACTAGCCCCTGATACGGCTCTCATTCCGTGTCTCCTTCAAACTTCCTCATGCAGGGGTTGGAGTTCTGTCCTTCTAGTGCTCTGGTGCCAAAAACCCTGCAAGTCACCCCTGCCCCTTCTTTTTTTCCACACTCTACATCTGACAGTCAGCCGACACTTTAGGTTCCACCTTCAAAATATAGTCAGAGTCTGACTGCTCTCACCACCACTTCTTGTTATCACCCAGATTCAGGTCTGCATCATCTCTCCCCTGGTTAAATGCAAAAACCTCCTAGCTGGGCTTCTGACCTTGTTCCCATCAGCCTATTCGCCACATGCCTCCAGAGGTACTCCTCTGCTCAGAGCCCCCCCCCCCCCATTCACAGTAAGAACCAAAGTCCCCACCATGACACATAAGGGCCCTATGTGACCTGTCTCCTGTGACCCCTCTGACCTATCCTGTCACCCCCCCTTCCCTGCTTCAGCCACGCTCGCCTCCCTGCGGTTTCCCAACATGCCAGGTTTGGCCCCTTCTCAGGGCCTTTGCACTTGCTGGTCTCCTTCACCCTCCGCCTCCCACCCCAGACTGAGCATGGCTGACTCTCTTCCTTCTCTCCGGTTTCGCTCTCACGTCACCATCGCACTGAAACTTTCCCTGACCACCCTATATAAATTTCACCCTTTCACATTCTTCTAGCCTCTATTCTGTTTTTCTCCTCAGCACTTCCCATCATCTAATACCGAGTAGTTATTTATTTATTGTCACCAAGATGTAGGCTTCCTAAAGCCAGGGATTGCCCCTTGCTTTACCCACTGTTGTATCCCCCCGACCTGGCACATAGTAGGTGCTTAGCATATTCTTTTTGAATGGATGACTGAATGAATCCTGGAGGCTGGAGAGCAGGAGAGCCTAAATGGAGTTTAAGAACCACAAGAGCAAACCCGCAGATGTGTGTGTCCTGGCAGGAGGCTGGGAATCCACTTGCCAGGTTGGTCGGCTCAGCTGGTGCAGGCCCAGATGGAACTCTCAAGCCCGCCAGTCACCTCACGAGGGGACAAGTGCTTGTGTGCAGACCAGCACGGTCCAGTCCTGCTCCTGGACAAATATCTCCAAGCCCATACCTCATCACCACACACCAGGCACCACATTTCAATGCTTTTTTTGATTAACATTACATAGGGAGGGGGCTCTTTTCCGAATGAGTTCAGAGGAGAGCATCTGCTATATGTACACCTCTCCTCGAAATGGGACTGTCATTTGCTAATTTGTATCCTGCCTCGGTCACACCCAGTGGTCCTAGAAGGGGCTCTGGAGAAGTGAGTGGGGACCCAGGGCAGTGGAGGGTGGTGGAAACTCTGCACTCTGACAGAGGAGCCCCAGGAAATGGTACAAAGAATCCTGACCTCAGAACTGTCTTGGAGAATGGGAGAAAAAAAGAAAGCAAGATACACTTTTTCCCCCTAGAAGAGCATTCTGTACAAACACGCTTTCTCTGCTGTAGCCCATTTATTTGAGTCACTCCCGCATTCATCCTGGGTGCGAACCAGTTCTGAGATGAGTGCTGACTTCATACCATTTACTGTTCTGAAGTCTGGGAAATGTTTCGGTCCGTGCTGAAGCCAATCTGAGGAGACTTCAGTTAGACACTGACCAGGGGCTGAAATGTTCCACTTCCAATCACATGGCCCTGCCTGCTGTCTCTTATTCCCCAGTCACACTCTCTGAGAAGCCGCTTTGTGATTCCACTGAACCCCAGAGGAGAGGTAACAAATACCCCAAAGAGGAAGCTCTAGAAAGAGGACATTTGGCAGGGTGCAGGCCAGTGCATAAGGACAAACTGGCATCTCAGAGCCCTTAGAATCAAAAACAACAGTCACCCAAGCTAAACCTTGGCACTGCGATGGTGAGGCTTCTGGCCAGGTGCGATTCGGCAGCTGAAACAAACTGTAGCTAAGGGAATGAGGTGTCCAGAGGAAGCATTCAAACAGCTGGGCCTGCACACGTGCTCTTCCTGTGACACAAACAGCCCTGACATCTCAGCACTGCTCGGAGCCACTCCCAGGGACAGACTAAACAGCATCTCAACTGGGCACTCAGCCCTTTCGCTCTCCACTGCTCCTGAGCAGAGCTCATCTCCCCAGGGCCCACCAGCCCAGAGCCCACCCTGATGAGAAGCCTGGTCATCCCCCGTGTTAGTGACGGCCTCGGAGCACTCAGAAAGAGCACTTCCTAGACACATGGTAGAGGCCACGGCTTCTCCCAAGCAGTGAGTGCTGGCTGAGCTTGCTCCTGGGTTCTCTTTCCATCATCCCGTGAGGCAGCAGAAAAATCAGTTTTCCATTCTGGAATCCTGTCAACTAGAACAAATCTACCAGTACTACCTGGGAGCATCTCTTCTAGGGCGATCTCTAACCCCTTCCCTACTTAGGCTGACAATGCCCTTGAATTGGTAATGTCCCATGTTTTTACCCTCTTAATCCAGAGCAAAAAACAAATAAGCAAAACATCAACAAATGCATTCCATCATGATGTCCATTTCTCAGTCCAGCTTGTACTGATTTGGTCCAGCACGCAGGCCAAGTTTTCCTAGCTTAGAACTTACTAGAAGTTCCCTAATCCAGTTAAGCTACCCAAAGGAACCAGATGTATCACCCAATAAACTCATAAGAAAGTACTGGAGTTTCTCCAAATAGATTTTACTTCAAATCTTCAGGCCACAAGGTTTCAACTGGACCACATAATCATTTAAACTCAGAAGTGTGCACATCTCTACACTTTCCAATACTCTATACGCACTTTAAAGCAGTGTTTCTCTGCATCTTTCTTCTGTGGCCATTGCCCACCCCTCCAAAATAATTACATTTTTCAATCCTTGGAAGCAAGGCTTCCAATATGTGTGTAAACAGAGAATGGAGAAGGCGAAGATAAGTCATAAAAGAATATGCTACATTTCCATCATAGAAATGGGGTGACAAAGTCTAGAAGATTGCTGAACTCAAGCCAATACCAGGGTCTACTGGTTGACAGCAACAAGTTTAGAATGTCTTCATAAGGGCCCTGGATGGGCAATACTTGCTTAAAGCAGACTCCAATTATCACATGCCTATGGCAAAGGATGGTTCAGGTTACAGAGACCCTGCAGCTTCTCCAGAGGGCTGCCATTAGTCAACAGGAGGAGGTTCAAGGCCAGGATACCCAAATGAACTAACCTATCTGCTGTGACGCCCTGAAGTTCCTTCACCCAGATAATTTGCCAAAATCTCCTTACAGCTTCTTATCTCCTCTGACAGGCCTCCAGAGGCCCAAACTAATAGAATTGGAGGAAAAAAACAAACAAAACAAAACAAAACAAAAAACTGGCCCGTCTATGTGCTGTCAACACTGATGCCACTCTTCCTCCAGGAGCCAGTTCTCCCTATGGGGCAGTCAGGTGAGGATCTGATTATGAACTAACTCCACTTGGGTCTCCTTGGCAAAGACACTGTGTCTTTAGCTCAGGGGGTTCATAATTATGTCAGACCAGCTTTTTTTTTTTCCTTGCTGCTGCTTTCAAATGAAGGGGGTAAGCCTCTCTACAACCAAGGGGAAGAACCAGAATTAGAAAACTTACCAATCGCCCCAGCCAATGAGAATCCATTTCCAACAGGTATTAATGCCTGTTAGAAGCCACTGGAACACTGACATCATCAGCCCAACTGCTAGGTTGTCTGACAGATTCGCCCCCTTCATCGCACACAAGAATTTAAAACAAAACAAGACACTGCAGTTACATTCATTATTGCTGACAACACGTTTCTTTGTGTTATTAATCAAAATGACTTCTATGGTGTGGACTCCTGCACTGTTGTTCCTTTAACAGCCTCTCTGTGAACTGGCCAACACCCTTAACTTTCTAGCCCTAAAAATCTTACCCAAAACACCAACTCAACACCTAGCCCTCCATTATGATACTTAATGCCTTCTGGGTTAGAGCATGCAAGTTTTAGATAGTGCATGCTAGTGTACCTTGAGTCATCACCTATAAATCATCCCTTAAAATCAGTGTAATGGGGGACCATGAGCCAATTCATTGCTTAAAGCAGATCTCTAGCTCCTCCCTCCCTTTCTCTAGGAATGAACAAATAAGTGAGCAAGAAGTAACTTCAAGAAAAACAAACTTTGGGGGAACGTGCACTAAGAGCCAGAGGGAGTCCCTCTGGATCAAGTTAATTAAGAAACAAACATGAGAGTATATTGGAATCAAAACCAAGGAATGCAGTGAAGACAGGTTTCTCAATTGCCCAGAGGAGAAGACACAGTTCCTTTTCAACTAAAATTAGAAAGCCACTGGGAACATAAGCCAAGAAGCACGGGTAGGAGGCTGAAAACCTTAAGTCAGCAATGGGGATGGAGGTGGGGTGGAGGAAGAAAGTATAGGTTTTGTTTTGTTTCTCTTGTCATTCCTTAGGTTTGCACCTGGCTTTTGGGAATCAGCAGTCCCCTCGACGGAGCATCAGCTAACAGGCTGGGAACTCTTGCCAACAAGTTCTTAAACGGCTAACAATTCTGCTAAGCGCTTGCATGTATCTAGCTGGTGCTCAAAGACCCAAGTAAAAACATTAAACAGAGGTTTCTGCCCACTCCGCAGTCTAAGGCGAGAAGTCATCTGTCCAAGGGGTGCCCTCGTGTTCGGACACCATCTCTCCATTGGGACATATCGGGAACCAGGTTGGGTTCTATGCCCAGCAGTGCCCATGTGGCTGGCGCCGTCTGCATTTCAAGCATTCCCTTGCTCCTCTCTGCACTCGGGAGGGCCCCGAATCGCCGGCGGGCACCTAGAGTCAGAGCGCAGGAGGGTCCCCCGAACACAGGACAAGGACGAGGAGCGTCGGCCGCCTCCTCGGGGCGGACCCAGACTATGTCCACGGGCCGAGCAGCACTGAGGCGGGTCGGCAATCAGGCGGAGGGGGGTGCCAGGCCCGCCCGGGTGCCCGCACCTCTTGCCAGCCCCCGGAAGCGCCACCCTCCCGCCCAGAGGGCTCCGAGGGGGCGGGGAGTCGAACGCCCCCTTCCGGGTGCCTCCGCCCGGCTGGCCAGCCCCGCTCCTCCTCCGGGCGGGAATCCTCCCTCCCCCGCCCCTCCCGAAGCCGGGCCCCGGCGCCAGGCCCGGCCCCAGGGGGGAACCCCCAGCCCCGGCTCCCCCTCCCTGCGGCCTCTGCCCGTCTTCCCGACCCTTGGGGGCCGGGAAGACCCCGCCGGCAGCGGCCAGGACCCACCGCTCATTACGACATCTTCCTCCCTGGCCTCCGCCGCCTCCGCCGCCACCGAGAGCCTGACACCGCCCGCCCAGCACCCGCCAATCCCGGAGCCCGCCACCGCCCGAGCGACGGCAGCGTTCACCAATAAAAGCTCAGCACATTGGGGACCGACAGCACCAATAACCAACCAAAGAGAGGCGTCTAGAGCGACGTTGGTTTAGCCAATCGACCTGTGAAATGTCACTGATGGACGGTAGAGGGCACCAACCGAAAACCTACTGAAGAGTGAACGACATGTTCGCCAGCCAATTGGCGGGAGGCAAAGTCCCGCCCACTAGGTGGATGATGGACAGCAACAGGAAGCTACATGAGGAGGGGTTTAGCCGAGGAGTGGTTTTGTATTGGTCGTGGTTGACCTTCCACCCACCTCGAACCCAAAAGATGAGTGATAGATCTCCCCTAAAGCCAATCAGAAGTCCTTAGGGTGAGACCCAGAAATGCCCTATAAATAGTACATACATTACACCTCAGTCCAGTGTCGCCCGGGTGTGCCAGGGGCCACCTGCTTTTCGGCCAGCCAAGCCCCGTGCCTGGTGAGTGGAAAGCCACCAGCCTATTTTGTCCCTCGCCTTTCAGCGCCTCGGGGGAGGGAAATGAGCCCCCAGGCGACTTTGTGCTGCCAGGCATCGGAGTCCAACAATAGCGGGAGTTGGGGCTACGTGACACTTATGAGAAAAGGGATTATTTCGCCGTCTCGGTTCAAGCCCCTGTTTCATCCTCACCTGGTTATTGCAGCGACCGCCCCCCATCCCTAACGGGCGGCCCCCCCCCAAAATCTCCTGAAGCTGTCTAAAGGGAGATTCCCGGGGCTGCCTCTGATAATCCGATTCTGTGTGTCTGGGGCACCCCTGGAATATGCGCTCTGACCAGCGCCTCGAGTGGACAGAATTGGTCCTGCCCCACTTACCTCCTGGATTGAGGTGCCGTGTGAGTACACACAGCGCTTGGAGGGCGCTGCCGGGCATTATCGAGAAGGAATCCTCTCTGGCTTCAGACCAGCCTGGGTTCGAAAAATTTACACATCCCACTTAGAGAGGGGCAGGGTACTGAAACTCCCCGCGCCTTCCGTCCTCGTCCGTACGATGAGGCTCACCACACCTACACCTGAGAGCAGCGGCTGCTCTCTCTCTTTTTTAACCATAAGCCACAGCGAGAAATACATTTGAATCCTGATACAGTACACTTACACCCCTGCGAGAGTGTATAACAAAGTTTCTGCAAACACTACTCAAACCTTCCTACCCGTGAGACGCTGATATTTTCTATCCTGTTAACCTTCCTTCCTCCCTCCCTTCCTTTCTGCCTGCCTTCCTTTTCTTGATTATGACTGGCAGTTTGAAAAACGCTATCATAAAGGGTTGGAGTGATAAAACACAGAGCCAATGCCCAGTACATAGGAACTGATGAATAAATGTTAATATTCTCTTCCAGTCTACCCCTCCCAGCCTTAGCCTTTGAAAAACAAAGTCCTAGAAGCTATCACTCCTCTACTTAAGATCCTTCCCTGGCTCCCTATCTATGCCTTTCTGGATAAAAAGCCCAAACTCCTTTCTAGGTAGGAGGCAAACCGTAACCTTTACACTCATTTGTGGATCTTTCCTCCTCTGCCCTATTCCCTTTCTACGGATCCTACCCTTTTGCCTGAAGGAAAGATTCCACATTTCTTAAACACTTCTTCTATTTCCCTTCCTACTTTATCCTTCCTTTCTCCTGGTAAACTCCTATACATCCTTCAAGATCCTGCTCAAAGTCTGAACACCTAACTCTTGCTGAGCCATAGCAGAGGGCTTCGCTCGCTACCACTGCACTTTTGTTTTCACTTCTGACCCCTGCTGTACTGTGAGCTGCAGTGGACGCTTTGAGGCCTGTACAAGAGGACTGGCAGGAAATGAATGCGGAATTAAAGAATGAATATTTGCATACATCTGCATAGGACTTGTTTATGTAGACCATACATTCTGTTCCCATGTCATTTTTCAAGTTAAGATTGCTTCACTGTCAGGCCAAGGACTCCACCCGGGTTCAGTGACTCAGCTGTATTAGGGTGCAGGGAGTTTTTTGGGGGGGGTGAGGTTGAAGATCCTGCTGGGCCGCTGCCAAACCTTTTGTGGGACCAAAGCTGGGGCAGCTGTGCTTCTCTCACCCCAGAGGCCCCATCACGAAGACAGCCGAAGTGGGGGGGGGGTGCATGTGTGTGGGTGGAGGAACAGGGTGCAAAAACAGAGAACTTGGCAGCCCTTGTGAGTTACTTGAATTGTTCTTCTCTTTTAAAGACCGCCACTGCCTTGTTTTTTTTCTTTCTTTCTAGGCTCTCTTGCTCCTCTCTTACCAGAGGCATAGCTGAGGAAGGGGGCACTTTCTAAGGACAGAAGCCCCTTATACTTTTGTCAGGACCGTTGGAGTCTTTGAGCCTCATTTACAACCCCCTAAAACCACCATACAACTTCTCTTCCCACAGGGCGCTGCTTTCAAGACGGCCCCCATCCTCACGAGGGGAAGGAGGCCAGGCGGGCAGCCTCTCATGTCCCATTTTCTCCCTGGCCGCACTTCAGACTCGCTGGAGAGCTAGTCACAAATTCTGAAAGTCCAGGTTCCATCCCAGGTGGAGAAAATCAGAATCTCCGGGGGTGGGACCCCGGCGACCATATTAAGTAGTTAGTTCCTGGGGCAGCCAAATGTCTCAGTCGCCCAAAGACACCTGCCGACTGTGGGAGCCAAGTGAAAAACTACAAACAGTCTCCCCCTCCTTCCTCCCCCACTTCTGTCCCTCCCCTTCCTGAATTTCACCCCTGCTCCCCCTACCTGCCTTGGTCTTCAGGGAGCCAGGGCTGACAGGTGGTTCCGGCTGTGTCTCACCCGCGATGGGCCTGGGGGCAGGTTCTCTCTGTCTCTCTCTCTCTCTCCCTCGGTGATATTTCCCTTCTTGTTTCCAACTACTCTCAGTCTCTTCTTGTTCTAAGTGGTCGATTTCTCTCCCTTTCTCATTTATGTCGCCCCTTAAAGCCCCACGTTTGTCTTGTTCACCCCTGCCCCTTCCCCCCGCCCCCCACAGCACACTGCTTGCTGTAGGGTAGGTGCTCAGTAGATGTTTGTTGACTGACTAAATGACTGCATCCTTTTAACACTTTTCGTGGATTCCCTTTGCTGCCAGGCCCAGCTTCCTCCACCTCCCTTTCACTTCTCCTTCCCGGTCTCCCTCCTCACCTCCTTCCCTCTCGATTCTCCCCTGCTTTTCCTGCTTCCTGACACCCTCCTTGGCCTCTTTTGCATGTAGTTGCCCCCATCTCGTTCATTAGTGCATCCATCCCCAAGGATGGGCAAGAGCACCAGAGGGAGGGCGGGACACAGAGCTGCAGTTTCTGCCCTTAGGAAGCTCCAGATTCCTTCTGGGGCCTTCTGTGAAAGAATGGTGCAGCAGGTGCTGGATGTCCAGAAGCTAGAAGACTGTCTGGCCCTTGACTATCTGTTGGTTCTTACTTCATCACTACCACCCGAGCTTTATTGTTGTTTATTTTTTGAAGAGTTACAGCCAATTCAGCCTTCGAAAGCTGGCTCATTCTCCCTTAAGAATCTGCCCAGTAGCCTCTGCTGCTCCCACTTCCCTCCCCTGGTTTTCCACATTCTCATTCCTTCGCTTTCCACCTACAGAGAAATCAAAGTTGCAGACTTGTCGAACCATCCCTGCCACTCCTGCTTGCCCAGAGAAATGTGGGACAAACAACTAGTTTAAGTGAAGCCTCATTACTTTTTTTCTCTCCAGCCCATCTATGATTTCAGTGATCTAAGTTTCCTTAGTCTTCTATGAGCACGAAACATTGACCAAGGCTGTAAAGTGTATCTCCCTCTTACACTTTGGCAGCTACCCCACCCCGCACCCCAGGGGCGCGCACACAGCCACCCCTTTCTCCACTGTCCAGGGATGCATCTCCTGACCCATGCCCTGGCTTGTCAGCTCCCTCTGTCCCTGGTTCCCCTGCCAGACCCAATGGCTGGCCACCAACTGCCATGGAATCTTCCAGCACGAGCATTCCACCCATCCTTCCCCACAGAGTTCTTCCTTCTTACCTGGTTCTTTCTACCCCCTAGTCCCCTTGGGATGAGGTCGTGGAGCCTCAGGAAGAAAGGGCAGGCCCCTCCTTCCCCCCTCCTCCCTCCTCCCTTCCCAGGGAGCGCCCCTTTAGGGTCGAAAGTACCTGTGCCCGCGCAGCCTTCGCTTGTCGCCACCAGGGGGCGTCCAAGGCACTTCTAAAAGCAGATGCTGGGTTTTTTTTAACCTTACTGGAAAGGAAAGGCGAGCATAGAAATTGAGTTTAGCAAGCATGCATTGAGTGCCTACTGTTTGCCAGGCCCATGCCCTGCTTCCTCTGGAAAGAGGGTATGTTCTAGTCGCTGCAAAGACTCCTTGCAGAGCCATTTGCCTCTTCAAGGAATCCGTTCCTACCAACCAGCTCATCTTCCCATGTCTGGTAACATTCTCCTATATCTGCCCCAGCCTCTCGCCGCCTGCGCTTGGCCCCTCTCCACCCCTCCTGATCCAACGACCACAGCTCCATGTCTGCTTCTCTGAGTCCAGGCTTCCCATGGCAGACGGGACACATTGCTAGGGACAAAGTGAAGCTCCCCAGGTGGGCCCTGTCTCCCTCTCTCTTCTGGGTCCCTGACCCCCTCCTGTCAAAGCCCCATTTTGGTGGCCAAATGGCGACTGGCCTCCTGAGGCTTCCCCAGACACCGTGAGTGTGGAGGATTCAGTGAGGCCACCGGCTGGGATGCTGGGCTCAGGAGCATCACCTCTTCACCTGGAAGCGCCGACCCAGCCAGCAGAGACTCAGGAAGTGGGTGACGGTGGTGGCAATGACAGTAACAATGATAATAGTAATAATACACTGGGGCCCACAAAATGGCTGCAAAATACCCTCTAATGATCACTTGTATTTATAGATCTCCTTCCCTTCCGAGACACTTCAGAGCCATTGCCCAATTAAGCCTCCTAGCTTCCCTGGGAGGGACAATTAACCCCATATTTTATGGCCAGGGGAAACCGAGGCTCTAAGAAGGTGGTGGAGTTGGCTGAGGTCACACAGTGCATCAGCGGGAGCCGAGTTGGTAGAGTGGCACTCTGTCCTTGCTTCCCTCCAGATCCAGACCCACCTAGGTGTGTGTGCCCGAGTACACACTCACAAGCACGCATGCACGTGCACCCATTCATTGTCCATCCCTCCGTCTTGGAAGAAGCTGGAACAGGGGCAAAGGATCGCTGCCCGGGGTGACAAGGAGGGAATCCGGGTAACCATGGAGGAGGGCTTCTCGGGGCCAGCCGAGGCTCCGGGGAAATCTCTCGGGTCGCCAGGGTGCCAGTCAGGATCCAGGCTCTCCAGACTTCAGGACGCATGAGGGAAGAAATGGGGGGTGTCTGGGTGCCTGCACAACACGTCCCCAGGATAGTGCCAGACACGCATTCACCCGGGGAACCCCACTCACCCCTTCCAGCTGCGGTATTGGGGACGGCAGTGTGATTCCAGAAAGAAGAGACGTGGCCACCCTAGAGAGGAGGGAGACCCCCCCCAAACCGGAATGACCCTTATTTGGCCTACACAAGAACACTCTGCTGCAGACGGGGAACAAGGGGAGGCGGGGAGAGACGGTGCCGGGCACAGGACTGACTCTCAGCTTCAAGTTCTCACCGAGAAAGTACAAAAGAAATAAGGAGGGGCACCTGGGTGGCTCACTTCTGCCTTCAGCTCAGGTCATGATCCCAGGGTCCTGGGATCGAGTCCCATGTCGGGCTCCCTGTTCAGTGGGGAGTCTGCTTCTCTCTCTTCCTCTGCTGCTCCCCCTGCTTTGTGCGCTTTCTCTCTCTCTCTGTGAAATAAATAAATAAAATCTTTTTTTAAAAAAAAGAAAAGAAAGAAAGAAGGAGATGCTTCCTTTCTAGTCTGAACTCCGGCATGGAAAGGGGGAATGTGCTTTTTTTTTTTTTTTTTTTTTTTCCTTGCAGTGGCAGGAGGAGGGCACACGGCTATCTAATCTAAAAGCTTCCTGGCTACACAAAATAGTGCCCCGGAGCAGGTGGTGGAGGAGGGCAGTGAAGTAAAAGTGGGATGACGTTTGGCTAATCTCAACACCGTTCCAGTTGGCTTGGGCGCTGGGATGGGGAGTCATACCTCCGTGGGTGGGTCCCTGCTCGGGGAGAGCAGCCGTGGAAACCAAGCTGACCACAGCCACGGCCTTGCCCGGATTCTTCAACTCCCTGATCCTTGACTGGCCCCACCTCCCAGCTCCACTCCCGACTCCTGTCTTGCCCCTGACCCCGGGGCCGCCAGGGCCTGGGCCCGTCCCTCCCACAGCTCCTGGTTCCCCGGCTGAAACTCCAAGGCTCCACATTGCTGGGAGTTTACTAGGGCTCCCAGCTGGGTCCCACCTTTGATCTGGCTTCAAAAAATAAAAAGCAGTACGAGGAGAGTAATTTTCCCCCGACCTGCTGGGGAGGAAGGCGGGCTGGAGGCAGGTCCTGACCAGCCCGGCCCACTCCTTGAGCCTGTAGTCTGAAACTGGGGCCGGGGTGGGGGGGGGGGGCGGTTGGGGACCAGGGGAGCAAAGCCATTTTCCTCTCTGACTTCCTTTCCCTCCCTGCTAGAACCCTGACCTCAAGTGAGTCTTCCTTCCCTTCCCTGCTTGCCAGTCAGCAGAAAAAAGGACGAAAGGAGAATATAGCTGGCTCTCCCTACCCACCTTCTACCCAGCACTGGGCTCCCCACCCCAACGTCTTCCCTGCTGGGCTGGATTAGAGCAGTGCCCTGCTTGGAAGGACAGTGCCTCTGTCCTCTCCCCACTTGGGCCCCTGG